GAGATAGTATCTTTCTAGGGTACTGAGTTGCCCAGGCTTGAACTTGTGATCCTGCATCAGCCCCCCAGAGTGCTGGGATTACAGGTGAGTGCCATTATGTCTGGCTTCAAACCTGCTTTTTAAATAGACACGAGTGACTGAAATGTGGGTGGTAGGTTAGAGAGAGAAAGAAGCTCAGGGGTCTTCTAGGGCTTGTAAGTCAGCATAGCCATGAAGGGAGCCACCTTGTAGCAGGACCTTGGTACCAATGCACCCTGTGGCTCCTCCAGTGCTGCCACCCGTGTCCACTTGTAAAGGGATTTCTAGGTCCGGAGAGATGGCCTGATGGGACCCTCTTGGAGGGTGAAAGTGTCCTAATTGAAGGAGCAGGTCACGAATTCCACTGGCACATATCTGCCTGCACACAGGCTCTGGCTTCAGCCTCAACAGGAGGAAGAGAAGAAATGATATGTTCTTAAAGCACTAAACTATGTGAACCCTCAGGTCCTCTTTTTGTTTTTAAGTAGTAGCATCTGTTCTATTTTTCACTGACCACTAAAAATAATAGTTCTAATTATTTGTGTGTGTCGTGTGCCAGCACTGTACGAGCACTTAGGTCATCTCATTTGTTTTCTTTTTCATTGTTTTTTTGTTTTTGTTTTTGAATTGGCATCTCAGGCCAACCCAGGACGCCCATGCTGGCCTTGAGCTCACAATCCTCCTGCCTGAGCCTCAGAGTAGCTGGGATTACAGCCATGCCTGGTTGGGTCATCTCATTTAATACTTAGCATCCTGTGTAGGTTGGTATTATTTGCTATTATCAGAGGTTGGGAAGCGGAGGGTCAGAGTGGTTGGGTAACTTGCCAGAAGTCAACCAGCTAGGAAGGAGTGGAACTGGTTTGTGAGATTCCAGAGCCCACTTCTGTTCCTGTCTTCGCCTACTCACCGTCAAAACACCCCAAGAAAACAGGAACACAGAGACAGATGTTGGTGGACGGTCCTGTCTGGGTCTGGAGGAGTTGCTTCCTGTAGTGAGTTCTACCTGCACAGAACTCTGTGGCCGTGTGTGTGTGTGTGTGTGTGTGGGTGTGGGTGTGGGTGTGTGGGTGTGTGTGTGT